CATGTTGGAGAATAATTCCTCTCTCTCTCTCTCTCTCTCTCTCTCTCTCTCTCTCTCTCTCTCTCTCTCTCTCTCTCTCTCTCTCTCTTTTCTCTTGCCGTTGGCAGAGTAGAGGGAAGTAAACGCGTAGACGATTTAATCTAGAAAAAAACAACGAAAAAAAAAAAAAAAAAAGAAAAAGACATTGGCAGTTCGTATGCAAGGACGACAAGCTGGTGCATCATCGCTAAAAACGTATCGACCGGTTTTATGTTATTCCTTTTTTCTTTTCTTTTTTTTTCTTTTTTCCTAAATTTGACTACCAATTTAACCTTTTGAACGACGTCATTTTACAGAGTAATACCTCGTTAATCATTTCACTAACTCTCTAATTATTTCTTACCTATCATTATCTACAACGGTAGATATACCTTATGTATAATAACATATATTTAGATCGCATATAGTAAATCTCTATAAATATTATTTTCTTAAAATAATCATGTTTTTTTTTTTTACTTTTTCCATTTCTTTTTTTTTTTTTTCCTTATGTTGAAAATACTTCCCCTGAGTATATAGACAGTCTTATCAATTTCTAGTTCAAACATTTTATAATGATACAAAATAAATAATTGCACAAATAAGTACTTGCGCGCACACACACACATCATGAAATTTTATTATTCATATATATGAAATTTTCATTATAAAATATGATATTTATTGATTTGATTAATAGTAATAAGCATATATTTATGATAACGAGTGCGTATATTCAAACACGATAGACACTTTAGTATTTTTTTCTAAGAAGAATTTCCGGTCGATTTTTAAATAATCCAATCGATGTTCTCGATGGGATCATAAAATGAGAAAGATAGAAATAGGTAGACAGATAGACAAACAGACAGAGAGATATAGATCGAGTGCATTTCAGGTACACCTACCAGGTATAAACGTTTTATATACGTGAGAACGGTGATCGGTGAACGCACGTACACGCATACACACACACACACACACACACACATGTATGTGTATATTATGTATATATGTGGACACGAATGCGCGTGCCACGGATAACTTTGTGCATCTACGGTCATCGTATGTAACGTTTCGTAATGTTCGACTTCGTCGTTTGATCGTTACGAAATGATCTTGTGTATTTACTTGTTGATGGACGGCCGCCGATCAAATTCGACGTGAACTTGTAAGAGAAAGAGAGAGAGAGAGAGAGAGAGAGAGAGAGAGAGAGAGAGAGAGAGAGAGAGAGACGATGACGATCTCAATAAAAGTAAAGAGAGGAAGATAGAGGAATGATCTCAATAAAGAGAAAGAGAGAGAGAAGAACTTTCAACATGAACTCTTTGTACATGGACTTGAAAGAGTAGGAGGAAGAGGAGGAAGAGAAGGAAGGAGGATTTATTTAGAGGGCTATAGACCTCATTACAGTCGGTAATGACAGTACGGACGGTCATTAAGCCACGAATGGCGAAGCTCTTTCGCTTCTACGGTCAGATATCTCTCTTTCTGTCTCTCTTTCTCTCTCTCTCTCTCTTGTATCCATGCAATCGTTCGTAGCTTGAGGTTTATTCGTGTCTAAAGTAGAACGTGTGTATATGTAGCTAGTAGTAATGGCCAATGTTAGTCTTTTAACGTGAGTTGGATCAACATCGGACACATACGTGGTAATTACTTACGTATATATAAACTCTTTTTGATTTATCAAAATAAATGGCTCGAACATTCGATACAAGCTCTGCGAGTTCGTAGGAAAGATATTCGTGTATATCATTACGCACGGTGAGCGATGGAGGGGGTGGAAGGGGGAGAGCTATGTTCGAAAAAAAAAAGAGATAGAAAATACGTTACAATCAATGAAGGATGAAAATAATCACGTCGTTAAATTATATCTTTGAATTTTAAATGTTTTATTTTGAATTGTAAATGTATATATTTTAATCTCATTTTGATCGCATATTAATTAATGAAGCGATAATAAATTTCAAATTTAATTGTTTCCAATGAAATATTCACGTTTATTTAATTTAATTTAATTTAATTTTATTTTATTTTATTTTATCAACAAACGGCTTTTATTTGAAAAATGATTCTTCACGTTTATCTAATAAAAAGAAAAAGATATATTTATATGTATATAAAAAAAAAAGATAAAAAAAAAAAAGAGAGAGACATCTCGCGATCGATCGTTCGTGAAAATATTAATTATAGGATGTAATCGATCATCGATAAAATGACATCAAAGCATTTCCTAATTACCATTGCAATCAACCAACGTTTGACCTATTCGGTCGACGAAAATTTACAGTGCTACCTCGATTCATCTAACGAATCAGTCTGAACGTTCAATCGATCTGTCGACCGATCGAAATATATACACTACTACACTATAATTTTGTTCGCTTTTACGTTTTCTCGACCTACGCCTCGATCTCGATTCGTCACGACCAACGTTCGAACAAAACGCGTTACTTCCGGCGACGTTGTATGATATTTTTTCTGACTTGATGACGTTAGAAAAATCGACGAAACTGAATAAAACCGGTTTTGTTTATCCTTTTTTTCTTTTTTTCATTATTATTGTTTTATTTTTTATTTATTTATTTATTTTATTTTATTTTATTTTATTTATTTATTTATTTTTTTTTTTTTTTTTTTTTTTTTTTTTTTTTTTTTTTATTTTTTATTATAAAAAGAAATGACACGAGATAAAGGCTTGGAATAATCCTTAAGAAAGATTAGAATGATTTTCTATTAATTTTGTTTAATATCTATCGAAATAATATAAACAAAAAAATTAGTATGAAATAAATGTCTCGATTGAAATAGATTACATTCGTTCACGGTAAAGATCGTAAAAATAATAATTACAAGCTTTATTATACCACTTAATTTACTTTGTCGATAACACTCGAACTCTAGCAATAATTATATTTATTTTCATTGACTGGGCGTGACGATTTTATTTGGAAGGAAAAAAGAAAAAAAAGAAAAAAAAAGAAGATAAAAGGAAAAAGAAAAGAAAGAAAGAACATTTTCTATTTCAGGGTTTGAGTGAAAAATAAAATGAAAGAAAAGAAAAAGAAAAATTGTGTAAAAATAAAAATAAAAACCAATTGTATATAATGACTCGAGATTAATATTAGATAAATAATGATATGGATGAAATAAGTAAAGCAACCAAGCAAACAAACAAGTAAATAAATGCGTTTTCTCGTTCTATAATATGTCTACAATATAGATAAGTACTACCATACATATATGGTATATAAGTATATATAATACATAATATAATATACATATATATGTATATATGTATATATATCGTGTCGATCGAGTTTTAGAAAGCAGCAATATACGTTTTCTCATCTCTCATCTTTCTCTTCTTTCCGCGAAGAGAGTTCACCTCGATGACGTTGCTGCGACCATGCAGCACGTTGATTCCTTCTTCGGTATTACTAGTAGTAGGTACTCGTACGTACTAGATATAAAAAGGAAAAGAAAAAGAAGAAGAAGACGAAGAAGAGAAAAAAAAAGGCTGGTTTCCATCCTTTCACGTACCATAAATGGCGGTCTTGATCCGATCGAAAACGCATATAAAAGCGATCGAGCTAGCCAGAGAATTTCCTTCGACGTGAATTATGCATCTAAAGTAAATGGCTACTTCGTAGAAATCGATAACGCATATCCTTTCTTTTCGACTAGGAAATATGAAAACATTTCGATGAGAATTGTCGTTCAGTCATGTATGTATATATACATACATATATATACATACATATATATATATATCACATTATTATACCATAATATTAATATAACAGATAATAATACATAATATAATAATGTATATATAATACATTATATAATAATAATAATAATAATAATAATAATAATAATATATATACATATATATCGTATAATTTTTTATAAATCAATTTTTGATTGGAGAAGAAAGGGGACAGCAATTTTGAATAAAAAAGATTCGATTAAAAAAAAGAAAAGGAAAGAACTATGCACAAAAACTATCCTCTCTCTCTCTCTCTCTCTCTCTCTCTCTCTCTCTCTCTCTCTCTCTCTCTCTCTCTCTCTTTCTCCCTCTCTCTCTCTCTTTCTCTCTCTTCGAATAAAAAATCCAAACGCATGCTCGCATTTTCATTAGCACGAACATTCATTGTTTCACGAATACTTTCCCGTGTAAGGCGTTTGCAAGGCGTAATCACTTTGTTCGACTTTACACGCTTCGTAATTTTTCGAATGGATCGTTGAATCACGGCCTTATATGAAATAGTCGACATGAATTCCATTCGAATCTTATAAGTCAATAAATCTTTATCTTCGATTATTCGAAGGAAGTAGTAAGAATCTAAAATTCATTTAATTTCATTACTTATTTTATTATTATTTCTTTTTAAATATAAAAATCCTTTACCACGAAGATTATCGATTGATTCGAAGTATACTTTCTCTGAAAAATATATATATATATATATACACGCACACGTACATGTGTATATATATATATGTGTATATAAAAAGAAAACGAACACAGATATATATACACACAGATACATAGACACAGAGGGGGACACGTGCACATGTACGAACTTATAAGAAAGAAAAAGGTGAATGTTAGAGAAGGTTACAAAAGGTAAACAAACCGGGTTTCTCCCGCGCAACTGGTTCTACCCTCGATAAGAGCAAGGTCAATGTTAGCAACAACATTGATTCGAGGGAAAATATTCTGGATGAGAACATAAAGTTGCAAGGTCTCTCTCTCTCTCTCTCTCTCACTCTCTTTGTTTTTCTTTTTCTTACCCTTTCTCTTTGTCACTCACTATCTCTCTTTCTCTCTTTTTTTCCTCTTTCGCTGTCTGTCTTTTTTTGTCTCCTTTAGATGATCTTGGTTGGTTACTTCGCGTTGTTCTTCTCATCGAAACCGGATACATTCGAGCACGCAAGCAGCACGTTTGTGACCCGTCAATTTCGATTTGTTTCAGATAAAGCTTGAACGAGTCCTGGGTGTAACCGTATCAAGCAATGCAGCTCTGGATTGCGACGCTACGAGCGAGTTGGTCGCCTATCCTGCCGGGTGAGTCTATTCTCTCTATTTTCTCTCTTAGGTCGCATATAATCGACCCGTATATATATATATATATATATATATATATATATATATATATATATATGGATTTATCGACTTTCGATCCCACTTGGCCCACTTTTATAACCAACCACTCTAATTGTTACGTTCAACTCTGGTAACGTTAAAAAAGAAAATTCGTTTTAACGGTGTTTAACGCCATGTTTATCTAATTTGTGTCTATCCTCTAATTTTACCATTTGAAATATTACATCGATATATATATATATATATGTATATGTATATGTATGTATATATATGTATTGCATATGCATACATAAGTATGTACCAATCGATAATTATGTATGCTTATGTATATATGCATAGATATTCTTATATGTATATTTTATATGTATATATTATATATTGAATTGATTAACAAGTAATGTTAGAATTTACAATATTTTCTATCTAAATAAACAAGATATTTTCTTTTCTGTAATTTTTTTTTTTCCTATTTATTATTTCTTATTTTATTATTATTACTCTTTATTTCTTCTTCTTCTTCTTTTTGTTTATATATGAAAAATTCTAAATATCACTTATTCGCCAAGACAAAAGAAATATATAAAAATAAATATAAGATATTGAAAATATTTCGATCCGAATAATTCGAAGGTAATAATTTTAACAATACAAAAAAATAAATGTTTTATTCGCGTTAAACGAATCGATAGTTTTAATTATTGTTCTTTGAATTATGATCGTAATTACAGTATATGATTATCCAGGCATAATATATATACGTTGAAATGAATAAGAAGTATAAATGTGCACTGCGAGTTCTTGCAACCTTGCCGTATATCTTTCACAGATAATTACCTCGACCGTAACGATTTTTCGAGCACTTAATTATTAACCCTCTTTCGAACGGGTCGACGCTTTCGCTTTACGAATCTACTGACTTTTAAAGGCCGACCTGTTGTATTCATGGGAAAACGATAAATCGATCGAGAAACTTTCGCATAAATCAATGTAAGGAAAATATTAAGACATAATTTATACATTATTTTCGTGAAATATATAAATAAAATTGTATATTGAACGAATAAATATTTAATATCTTCTTAATCGTTACAAAATTTCGCGCGAACAAAAAATTTCATTTTAAATAATAAATTATCACGAGTTAACTACTTTCGCATTTTCTGATTGAAAGAAAAAAGGAAGAAAAAAAAAAAAGAAAAAAAAAAGGTTTAATATAATATTCTCGTGAAATTTAATTTTCAACTTCGACTACGTAAAAAAAAAAAGTAACATTTGAATTTAAATAATGAATTGTTGCAAGTTTCACCATGCAACGTTCACCTTTTTTGCGTTATTGAAAAATTACATTTAAAATTCCCACGAAGCTAGAAATCAATATATTGTAACTAGAAAATAAATAAAATGTATGTTCCACAAAATCATACGTTATTTTTGTTAAATTTTTAAATAAAATAGATTTTAATTCAGAAATATATTACTAAAAAATCTAAATAGTTTTTAATTTTTTTATATCGACATATTTTCAATATTTAAAAAAAATATGACTTGAATCAATAATAAATTATCGTCATCACGAGTTTAGTTCCATGTTCTTTGATTAAGAAGTTAAATTTTTAAATTTTCATGAAAATAGAAAATTGTGAAAGAAACAAAGTATCGATTAAAAAAAAAAAAAAAAAAAAAAAAAAAAAAAAAAAAAAAAAAAAAAAAAAAAAAGAGAGAAGGAGAGGTACTCACGTTTCTTCTATTGATCACGGATGGCATTTCGACAAAAGAGCCGCACTTCTCATCTCCTCATCTTTTGTCTTCTCTTTTTCTTCATCTTCTTCTTCATCTTCTTCCTCGTCTTCCTCATCTTCCTTCTTTTTTCTTTTTCTTTCTCTTTTTTTTCTCTTCTCCATGACTTCAATGGAAGTATGGCGAAAGTACGATGAAGAGATTATTCCGGTTTTATCGTGACAACGAGAGAGTGGAACGAACGTTTTCGTTTATATTCAACGAAGACCGGATCAACGATCGTTCGATGGTGTTGTCCTTCGACGACAACGATGATTGTTGGCTCACCTTGCAACTCTGTCTCGTGTCTTATTGCAATATTACACACTTATCTATTGTTCTAAGTTTTGCAATGGCAAAAGTAAATTCTCTTCGTATGGGAACAACTTTCGCGCTAGCTCGTTTTCCATGGATATAAATTTATTATTTTTTTATTCAGAATTGAACGGTGATCAATTGTTTCGTAATCATTTCTGTAATTCGATCGTTTAAAACGCAATCATAGAAATTATAATCGAGAATAGGAAAAGAAAAAAAATACTGGTATTATATTGATATTTTTCTATAACTGTACACTTTCGTACCGTTTTATAGAAATCAAATTACGATAATACCGATAATATATATATATATTTTTTTTTTGTCGATCTTTGTATTTCGTTAAAATTATTTGAATATTTACTAAGGAGATATTTAATATCGTTATTATAATGTTTCTAATTATTATGTTCGTAAAGTTATAATGAAATAGATATAGTGTCGAAATCGTTGCAATATCGAAACCAAAGTAATTGCCATTTTTTTTTTTTTTTGTTTTTCTTTTTCTTTTTCTTTTTCTTTTCTCTAATAATATCTATAGCGTGATATTGCGAATGAAAATTATTACGATGTTTTACAATCGTGATTATGATTATATCTTACAATTATTATTATTATACTATTTGTTAGGGATTAATATAACTTAACGATCGATTGAATATTTTTTAACAGAGCTGTAGTAATTTTTTTTTTTTTTTTTTTTTTTTTTTTTTTTTTAATTGAAAATATATTAAATTGTATTTATTTGTATTTTTGGTAAAATTTTGTATAAAAAAAAAAGTTCTGAGATTTTTTCCAATCCGTCGTATATTCAATTATATTAATAAAATATAAAATATAATGTCTTAAAATGTTTACTTGTATTTTGATTATCAAGAACCTTGTCGTGAGATAATTTAAAAGTCAACAATCAATTGTACGAGCTAATAATAATCTCGTACGTAAGTAAGTAAGTAAGTAAATAAGTAAGTAAGTAAATAAGTACTTTTACTTCATTATACAAAAAAAAAAAATTGAATAAAAACGTGGCGGTATCACTTAGTCACTGCACATCAAGTACCTTACCTGCAATTGAAGATTAAACTGAAGTTGATGACATTGAAAAAAATGTTAATAGAATTAGATAAATAAAAGACATCGTCACGAGATAATGCGACGAATGTACATTAAATGAGTATGTCGTGGAAATTTGCAGAATGTCCTCGTTTAAAATCTAAACAAGAATGTTTTGTTATTTTCTGAATAGAGAAAAAAAAGAACAAAAAAAAAAGAAAAAGAAAGAGAAATAATTTTCACATTCTTCAATATTGTTATTATACAGAAATTATTGATTCCATTCATAATCAAAAGTGTGATCATTGATTGATTAATGATTATTAAATTGATCATGACCTTTGATTGCATGATTTTGATTATTTCTCACATATTCATTAATCAATGATTACTAATTATTAAATAATCATGATCAATAGCATGATATTACATTAATCTTCAATCTTCAATCATTAATCAGATCAACGTTTCGTTCAATTCTTGCAATAAATGATTTATCGACTTATGCTAAAGTTCGACTTGGTTTCTTTTGATTTCATCTCATTTGACATCTTACTTTCCTCCACCTTCTTGTCCGTCAATTATATTGATATATTAATTTTACGAGATGAACGAAGTTCGAGCATGCAAATGTGTTTATTTGTTCCTTCACGTCCTTCAAAAAAAAAAAAAAAAAAAAACGAAATATACAAAGTGAATAAAAAATGAACATTCGTATGCGATACCGTTCGAAATTCATGATTCGATTGCAATTTTATATTTATACAATAGAGAGATTGTCAAGAAGAAATAAAAAAAAAAAAAAAAATAAATCAATTAAAATTAAAATTATCTTTGTCATATATTCTTTTAAATAATGTTAAAACACTTATTATTCAGTTTTAACACTTTTTTTTTTCTTTTTCTTCCTATTATTTTATTATTTTATTATTTTATTATATAGAGAGATTATCAAAAAGGAAAAAAAAAGAAAATCAATAAATTAAAATTATCTTTGTCATATATTCTTTTAAATAATATTAAAACACTTATTATTCAATTTTAACACCTTTTTTTTCTTTTTCTTTTTATTATTTTATTATTTTATTATTTTATTATTTTATTATTTTATTAGTTTATTATTTTTTCTTTCTTTTTTCTTTTTTTTTTTTTCTTTTTTTTTTTTCTTTTTTTTTTTTTCTTACTGCAGGAAATTAATTTCCCTACGTATTAAAATCAATTTATTTCTTTAACATATGTATTAAATTAATCAAGTTAAATCTAAATGTTTCATTTCGCACGATTCAATTCGAATATCTTTAAAATACTCTAACATTCATTGTTATATAAATAATAATAAAAACAAAAATGAAAATGAAATGAAATTTAATATATGATTCATGTTAAAATGACACATTAATACGTATAATATTAATTCGTACGTACATTTGATACATACGTATCAAATATTTTTTATTAAATTCCATGAAGTTAGAGAATTCGTTATCGTCCGTCGGACCGAAATGCAATAATAAAGTATGCGCACGACGATAATAACGCCGTTGAGAGTCCGGAAATCGGGTCAAGAGAGAGGTGAATGGACCAAAAGATTCTGTGTCTAGAGCGTACAGTCCCTCTAAGCATATAGGGAGATCCGCCTTGAGGCAACTATAATACATATAAGTAGGTAGGTGAGTACTTATGTATGACATACATACATACATACATACATATATACATATATATGTATATATCTAAAATTTATGTATTACATGCAAATACATAGGTACATCACCGGAGCAACGGTTAAATCGTCGATTCGCCGATCTCGATTC